CAAATTTGTATTCTATTTGTGCTATTGGATTTTCTCTTTTATATTTTTTCTCGGCGTCAATTGAACTAAATGAATTAACGAGACCTTTTTGACTATCTATGACTTGTTTGACTTCTATATTGGATTCAATTTGTTGGTTCTTGGAATGATGAAATTATTCAGTAATTTATCGTATTATTTTTATTCGGTTCTCTTGTAATACTTTAATTAAATTACACAATTAATATTCATAAAAATGTTATTATGGTATGGTCTTATAATAAAATCAGAAACGTGCGAGTGTGCCGCCTGCTGGCTGCGATAGTACAAAGGGCCCAGATAAACATGGAAAACGTAACTCATCATAATTAATACATTTAAAAAATTATTTTATTTTCAGGATTTTTAAAATACGAACGTTGAATCCGAATGAGCTCGCTCGAGAAAAGAATAACAGCGCCGCGACACGGAGTGTTTTCAATTCATTATCTCAAAAACAAAAATTTCATTAGCCCCGAGATTTCCTTTTTAAATTTAATTATTCATATTTAAATTAAACAAAATATAATAGAGGGCCGACGAGTAAAAAAGCGGCTTTATCGTATCATATTTTATTAACCGAATTTATAATTCTACACCGATTCGAGCAAATCCAGGGCGAGGGGGCCGGGGCGGCGGCGGTGCGATCCCAGGAAAAATATTTATGAATGCCAAGCAGAAAAATCCACAATAATATTTCAGGGTGGACGTCCGGTCTTTACTTGCCCTCACCGATCTATTTAAAAAAGAGGCCCGGAAGGACAAAAGGGCTGCGGGATCGTAAAAAAACTGGACACGTATACTCGTACAGGTTAGGGCCGCGGCCGCTTTGTCTGATTCTTATTTTTTACCGAATCGGAACGTTTTCGGCGCTTTTTATCGGTTTTTGTTCCGGAGACATTGTACCTCCCCGCGCCCACGTTTGTTCTAATGTGGCGCCATTTTGCTCTTTATACGATATTTTTTTAGTTGCTTGATAAATGTTGACCCAACTCTTTTGCTTTGTTACATTTTTCTCTTGCGCGGCGGCGTCATCTTTACTGATGTGCTTGAATTTTCCGCTTTTATTATAATAAATCTAAGACATCACATCTCGTTCGCTTTGTTGCAAACCTTTCGTGTATTTTAATTTTAATATCTACTTGAATATGCAAAGTTCAATGGTACGTACGATGCCTTGAACTAATGAACTGAGAACTTTTAATACATCAAAGAGATTTGTTTGAAATCTGAAAAGCGTTTGAAGAATTCGAAAGCCACTATCAGTGAATTTGCGCACATTATATTAGACCATAATGCACACTATGTAACATAATATACTTAAAACGATGAGTAAGTAATAAATGTGTTTTAATATAAAAGCAATGATGTCTGTGTGATCAACTTTGAGTAATTTCTACAAACTTTTTACTTTTCAATCTAAGAAAGGCATTGAGGAGTGAATTTGCTGTAACCATGCTGCAGATCCATCAACAAAGACCTCCACTTCCACTTTCCAATCTATCGATCTGATTTACATCAATATTTTTATATTCCTCTCATCATCGTCATCATCAGCTCAGCCATTATCTGTCGCCTGCTGAACGTAAGCCTCCCTTCTCTATTTTAAGAAAATTACTTATGTTAAATTAAACTAGGCTTTTAATAGTTAAATTTCTTGATAATTATTCTTTGCTGAATTTGCTTGATGACCTGGATAATAGAGTAAAAAAAAAAATTGTAAATGTCAATTAACAAATGTCATATGTAAATTAATGATTTGGAATTGTTAGATTTTTATTTATATATGTAGTATAGGTTACTAACTTTTGCTCGCTACTTCATGCCCGTTAATTTTAAAATTAGAAAAACCAATAAAATAGGGATTGTTAGTAAAATAAATTATCAGTCCCATTGCTAACAATATACTCTAACAGGTCGACCTCCCCGTGGTCCCCCCTGGAAACCATCGTGCTGAATTCCAAGTGTATTCATCACGATGGGCTAACTGACCTGCTTTTTCATCCTCACCTATCATCTCTCACTGGTGCCCCGCCAGCGTATACCGTTAGCGCAGATAGGGCTACCATTCCATTATCGTCCATTAAAAAAAAACCTATGTAGGTGTGTGCACACCACCAAGTGAGTCATTAGCTAGTACACCATTCAATTTTGCAAAAATTAAATCCGCAGTGTTGCCGTGCTCAAGAAGTACGACTAGATATTAATATTTCTCTTTGTTCGTATTCAGATACGTGCCTATTGGTGCATACATAAGTCAGAACTATCGTACAACCGTCCATATTTGCATGTCAAAATTATGAACAATTAGCATACTGCAGGAACGATACTGCGATGTAAACTCAATTGGCTGCAATATGATTAGCCAACACAATTGGACATGTAGTATGCACTCGTTGTAGAAATTAGAGCGGCATCTATTGGGATTGCCTGGGGATGCCTATGAATTAATTAAGTGAAGCGAATTTTAAAGACGGAATACTCGTTTTGATGCAAACTGTTAGTGAGGGGGCCCTTGTTTAAAATAAAAAAAAAAACTTTTTCCCATACACCGAAATTATTTGTTATATATTTTTTATACACAGCTAATAGAACGTTTTCATTGATTCGAAGCTTCACTGTGACTTGCGATGCGCGAGACCCTTGATTCAGGGTTTTATTGAGCCTGGATAAATCTAACTAGTTAGTGTTACTGGCCAGACCGGCGGGCAGAAACCAGGTCCGCCCTAGGTAGCTGGGCAGAAATTTGTCTAGCTAAATTACGACTGATTGATTTAAAGTTTGTATGTTTGTATGTTTGTTTGTTTGTTTGTATGTTTGTATACAGGCATAATACTGCTGATTTAAATGGAAATAAATGATATTGCTAGTAAGCAATAATATTTCTATATGCTAGGTTTGTAACAGAACGTTAAAAGAAGTTTTTAAAGCATAGCTTCGGAGATGGCCCCGGTTAATGCTCAACAGATTTTTTTTTTTCAACACAGGGGGCAAACGAGCATGCGGCTCACCTGATGGTAAGTGACTACCGCCGCCCATGGTCACCCACAACACCTACGGCATTGCAGGTGTGCTGCCGGCCTTTTAAAAAGGAATATGCTCTTTTATTGAAGGTTATGTTGTCGTATCGGTTCGGAAATACTGCTGCTGGAAGTTGATTCCAAAGAGTGGTTGTGCGTGGGAGAAAGTGCCTTGAAAAACGCATGGTGGAGGACCGCCACTCGTCCAGATGGTTGGGATGAAATTTTAGTTTATGGCGGGTTGTACGATGGTGAAAATCTGCAGCAGGTATCAATCCGAACAATTTTTCAGAGCACTCCCCATGATAAATTCGGTAGAAGATGCACAGGGATGCTCATCAGATATGAAGGGCGTATTGATTGTGTACATTTTGTTGAACTTTTTTTTTTAATTTAACTGCAGATTCATTAATATCAGGCGTTAACTGTCCACTGCTGAACATAGGCTTACCCCATGAGGGGTTTGCGAGTCGTTGTCACGTTTGACAGGCGGGTTGGAAACCATAGTTAGGCAAGATAGAAGGGATTATTGATAATGCAGTCCACTCCCATTGATAGATAGATAAATAATTTATTTACACTACTTTACAGAACACAAATACCAACAGACGCAAATGCATTGCCAGCAATATACCCTGTCAGGTCGACCTCCACGTGGTCCCCCCATCCATCGTGTTGAATTGTATTACAGGTGTTTCGTTACGATGGGCTAACTGAACTACCTTTTCATTCTCACCTATCATCTCTCACTGATGAGCCGCTAACATGTACCGTTAGCGCAGGCAAGGTTACCATTCCATTATCATCCATTAAAACCATAGTTTGGCTTTTGTGATGTTTTAAAAGGGACGCTGCTGCCCGTCGCTCTATTATTAAGCTCCCTTAGTCGCCTCTTACGACACCCTCGGGAAAGGAAGGGGTGACACGTTCTATGCCGGGACCGCACGGCGAAATAATCAAATAGAAAATATTAACGTCCCATTCGAGCTAACCAAAGTTTTTAAAAGTTACATTTACTGCGACATTGTTTTTCTTCGGTGAGCGTAACCCTAACTTATAAATCAGGACTTGCACAAAACCAACTTCTAAACGCACGATTAATCCCGGCCGCGGGCAGAAAAAATACACAAAAATGGCCGCCCGTAATCAAATTATTAGCAAAGCCACGGCCACGTAAGGGCGAGACCGCGAATCCTTCCCGGGTATTTATCACAGAGAATAATGAATGAAAACCTTTTTTTTCGGCCGATAATGGGGAACGGCCGAGCACCTGGATACTGGGACGGTTTACGATCTCCTTGGTCATGGAAAATGTATATTCCCTGTGGGATTTTTATTACCCCCACTAATATTATAAATGTATGTGTTTGTTTGTGACATCTTAGCAAGGCTCGACCAATCGTCAGTAAAAATAAAATACACGTAGAATTTAGGATGGAAAATGACATTTTCAAATTTTTTATATTTTTTTTTATATTGATTGATTGAGTGATTGTTGATCTATATACTATATTTTCCCCATATATGTTATGCTTTATATACAAACCCTATAGATACTTTCTTCTTTCGGGCTCTAAAAGTTGACTGGAAGAAATCCCTTCAAAGAGACTTATGAATCTCAACTGTATTTTGTTCAGATACAAATACACACATAACATACATTCTAGGCATACATACAGCCATGTCACATATTTTTATTTATTTATTTTTATGTAACTTAGAATGCCAAACAAGCTGACGGCCCACCTAATGGAAAGTAATAACCGTCGCCTATAGACATGAGCAGTACCATGGACATTGCATAATATACTGTGTCGCCCATGATTCTTTTGTATATGTTATATGTTCATAATTCCTCTGTAAACTGTAAAAATATAATAGTACTACCATATCACTTTTAACAAAATTGACCTCAAGTTATCTTTTTTTTTTAATTAAAAATATTATATGTATAATTTACAGAAGTCACACCCTGGATGAGAGGTTCCTGTACTCGCAGAGTGAAGTGCGCCGCGTACACTGGCATCCCAGCTCGCTGTCACATCTACTGGTGCTGGTGTCTGATAATACTATCAGGTAACTATACCAAACATACACATCTGTCACGCCTGTCTCCCATTAGATTAGGCAGAAATAATGGAACGTCAAATGCTTCCATTCAAACATGCCTCTTTCGCTTCTTCCACATTCATCAGTCTTTTTATTTATGCTCACCGGGTACATTTAATTTAGCCCTTCTTCAGCATGTCGTCTACTTGGTCGACATACATCCGTCTAGGGGGGCCCCTATCGATATTTCCATTCATTCTTGCTCGATAAATCTCTTTTCTAATTCTTCTTTCATTCATCCTCTACAAATATAATAGCAATACCGTAACAATAAATCATCAACATCATCATTTGCTAATCATTGCTAACATTGTTATTACTGTATGTTTTAGTGCAATAAAGAATATATATATCATGAAAGTTAACTGTCCACTGCTGAACATAGTCCTCTCCCAAATGGGTGGACAGTCGCATTTAGGCTTTGATGATGTTGAATGATGATGATGAAAGTTTCCCTAGTTACTTCTTACGACACGCACGGAAAAGGAAGGGGCTCCACTGTTAGTGTTAAAGACGGACTTAATTCTATATAGCATTCTATCCAAGCTGCCTTTGGAAAAACAGAAACATCCATTGGTTGTTTATTTAATTACTTAATCAATTAGGTGAACTTTATAGTCTCCCAATACTCTCTCAGGAAAACAGCAGTACTAGAACAGAGGGAGACTTTGTACAAAAGTCGTTTGCTTGAGTACCTCTGTCCCACTCGTGTTTCAACCGTAAAGCAGTTGCGTTTGCATGGCTGGGTTTCAGTTTGAGGGGTGGGATATGGCGTGAATTTACTGGGTACGGAGGAATAACACCTGAGTCCTCAGGAATGGCAACACATGGTGGGTATCATGGGGGAAACAGTATACTCTGTTTTGTCCATGGTACTGCTCATGTCTATATGCGACGGTTACCACTTTCCATCAGATGGGCCGTCAGCTTGTTTGCCATTCTAAGGTGTAAAAAAAAAAATACTGTCACTATCAATTACAATATTAGAAATAACATTTTATATTTTAAATAACTGAACACAATGGCCACCCGATAAAACTCTAACATGTGAAGGCAAATACGTTTATATACTATCTTTTATTATATTTTATTCTATTCTACACAATATCGCGTCTTTCATCGGTGCATGTCCAGTATTGAACGCGATGCTTCTGGATTAAAATATACTTGTTAAATAATGCCATTCTTCGATTCCAGACTATACAACATAGCTCTCAAAAACGGCCCGAAACTGGTGAAGATCTTCACGATCGGTGCCAAACCTTCGAGTCTACTGGCCGGGAAGACCATCCTGGACAGTCTTGGAGACACCGCGGTGGACTTCACACCGACGCCCGATACAGACGCACTCCTCATCTTGAGGGGAAATGGCGATGTTTATATGATGGAATTTGATTTGGAAGGCAAAAGGTAAGACCACTTTATTGTTCAGGGTATTTTAAAATGAGAAGAAGAAAAAATAAGTCCCAAAATCTGTATAGGACCAACACGGGGACAATATATAAATACTTATTATAGATTTACTTCGCCATTAAATAAATACACCAATAAAATCCAAGTCAAGAAATAAACTAAACACATTTGTTCAAAAATAACAAAAATCAGGGTATTCATCCTGACACGTTTGGACCTAAGCCCGTACAGTGTGGTTTCAAAGGAATTTTCTCCAGGTTGAGGAATGAGCTCCTTGACGAAGTTTTCCCTAAATACTACAGTATGGGGTTCTTCAAAAAGGATATATTAAAGTTTCTTTAGGGTCGGCATCGCGCACTTGACTCTAGACCATAGGCTATAGTGACCGTTTACCATCAGATGGATTGTATGCTTATTTACCACCTACGTGGTATAAAACCACCAGAAGGAGACTTTGTACAAAAGTCGTTTGCTAGGATACCTCTGTCCCATTCATGTTTTAACCGTAAAGCAGTTGTGTTTGCATGACTTTGTTTCGGTTTGAAGGGTGAATATGGCTTGAATTTATAGGGTACAGAGGAATAACACCTGAGTCTTCAGGAATGGCAACGCATGGGTATCATGGACGAAACAGTATACTCTGTTATGTCCATAGCACTGAACATGAGCTATAATTTATTGGCAATATTCGGCGCTTTGTTCTTTGGTTTTTAACTTTCTAACGATGCTGTTACAGTCCACTGCAGGCGAAACTGTCCGGTCCGCTGGCGATGTACCCACCGGCTGATGATAACTACGGCTCCGAGTCTTGCTCCATAACAGCCCTCGGTGGTGGTGACTCCCCTCCGCTGGTCGTGGTGGCGACTTGCTCCGCCGCGTTGTACCATTGTCTGCTCTTACCCAATGTACGTTCTATTTTTATGGCGTGAACGGTGCGCTGACGGGATACTATTAACTTATGATAGGTAGCAGTCTTAGGTCGTCTATTTTGCTTACTCTATGTTGCAATCTACTCCCAAATAATACACAATGTACCCAATATAATACGCATCCCGTCACCCGTATCAAATAGCGAGTAAGAAATGCCCAAATAAATGAACTGCTGTGGTGAAGATTTACTAAGAATTGACCACGCTGATTTCCAGGGAAGATCTCGTGGAAGTTCGCCCAACACGGTATATCTGGAACCTATGCCCCGCTGGGAATAAAGGTCTCTTCCCCTTACGTCTCAACCTGCCTAGATTAAGAGCTTGATCGGTGATCAGGTTTTAATTTTATCCAAATTGGTTCGATAGTTAAAACTTAAACTAATCTATAAGTATAACCTTTCAGATAAAAAAGGATTTTCTTAATAGGTTTACAACTGACTGAGATCAGTTCTAATTTTTAGGGTTCCGTACCTTCAAAGGAAAAAACGGGACCTATAAGCATCACTTCGTCGTCCGTCCATTCGTTCGTCTGTCTCCCTGTCAAGACCCTTTTTCTTAGAAACGCGTGGAGGTATCAAGATGAAATTAATATGATGAACTCAAATCTGCAATTTCTTAAAACAATGAAAAATCACGCTTCTAAATCGATGCAATCAAAAGATACGACCGTTTATGTTCAATTTATATCGCATATTTTGGTATTCGCAAAGGGAATCAAAACCTATAGGGTACTTCCCGTTGACCTAGAATCATGAAATTTGCCAAGAAGCAACGTCATGTAGCAGAAGTACAAAGATAAAGACTTCCGTATAATGTGAATTCAAAGAAAAAACATTTTTTTTTTCCTATCTCTTTCTTCTAGCCATCAGACAAAGAGAACGGCGATAGCCACGCACTGTACGTAGTGGAAGCTGTGGAGCTGAACATCGTGCTGAACCCTGATGACGTCAATATGCAGCATTCCTATCCAGTGCACCTGTACCCAGTAATTATGATTTTTTTTATTGACTGATAATGGAATAGTAACTCCGCCTGCACTATCGGTATACGCTGGCAGGACACCAGTTAAGTATAATATAAGATAAAGTAAGATCAGTTGGTCCATCGTGACAAATTCTTCAAGAAGCCTATTATTATCATCATCATCTCCGCAATCTATGCCCAGCAGTGGGCAGATAAAGCCTCCCCCATAAACTGCCATACAGAACGGTCCTTAGCCACCTGCATCCACTGACTCCCAATTATTAGCGTCCCTCTTGAAACATCTCTAAAGCCTGACTGCGGTTGCCAGTCCGCCTGCCAAGTGTAGCAACTACTGGCAAAACCCCCCAAGGTTATGTTCAGCAGTGGACAGTTAAAGACTGATATAAAAATGAAGTTACTAAAAAAAATTTTTGTTTTTTCAGTGCACGAATAATACATATGCGTGTATGCACGCAGGCGGCGTGCATACGGTCACGCTGCCGCTGCTTGCCCACTTGAGGGATTACGCATTGGCCTCAGAAGGTATTTTTTTTACTAATAACAAATAAAACAAGTGATGATGACCTTAACAGTGCAGCGGTTAAACATACCGCCTCACCTTCCAATGGTCATGGGTTCGAATCCCAGTCAATGCCAATATTTGTATTTGATGCACACAAAACTCTTAACTAGTAAAAAGTACTATTGACTAGCGAAGTTAGTCAAAAGTACTATTAACTAGCGAAGTCAGTCAAAAGTACTATTGACTAGCGAAGTCAGTCAAAAGTACTATTGACTAGCGAAGTCAGTCAAAAGTACTATTGACTAGCGACGTCAGTCAAAAGTACTATTGACTAGCGAAGTCAGTCAAAAGTACTATTGACTAGCAAAGTCAGTCAAAAGTGGTTTTGATAGAAAATTATTGGTTATTAGTACTTTTGACTGCAAATTTGCGGTTAGGTTAGGTACTTTTAACTGTTATTTTAGATTTAAGTACTTTTGACTGATTTTGCTAGTCAATAGTACTTTTGACTGGTTAAGAGTTTTGACTGCAACATATTCATGACACAGAAGTCGTTGTGTTATATGAAACTCAGCATTAAGGATAGTGACGCGAGAAGAAAGTGTCTACCAACATATGAATTAATTATTTAATGATTTATTTATTCAAACTTCACCAGAGGGAGACTTTGTGCAAAAGTCATTTGCTTGGACACCTCTGTCTCATTCGTGTTTCTACCGTGAAACTGTTATGTTTGCATGGCTGTGTTTCAGTTTGAAAGGTGGGATATGGCAGTGAATTTACAGGGTATAGAGGAATAATACCTGGGTCCTCAGGAATGGCAACGCATGAGGGGTATCATGGGCGAAACAGTTATGTTGTTATGTCCATGGTACTGCTCATGTCTATCGGCGACGGTTACCACGTTCCATCAGACAGGCCGTCAGCTTGTTTACCATTCTAAGTTGCTTAAAAAAATCCATTGTTACAAACTTTCGTATTTATAATATTAATAAGATCTACCTGAGCGAAGCCGGGGCGGGTAGCTTGTATATAAATAAATTTTACAGAGGACTCGGAGACGGTGCTGTCAGCGATATGCTCGAAGTCGAGCGTGGCGCGCCACCTGGTGTGCACGAGCGGTCCCAGCGGTCCCAGTGATCCCAGTGATCCCAACGGTCCCGGCGGTCTCAGCGCTGCTGACGGCCGCTTCCGTCCGCCGGTGGCGCTAGCTCTGTCGGCGCCGCCGCTGCCCGCGCTACTCATACTGTGCGAGGATGGGACATTACTCACCAGGTACACTTCTGAACATAGGACTCGTTAATAGAAAGGTGAGGGAGGGTGTTGCAGTAGTTATTATACTTGGCAAGCGAGTTGGCAACCGCATTTAGGCTTTTGCTTTTAACCGCATTCCCTCTTAACATATCAATGTTAAGAGGGACGTATCACTCCATATTACAAAGTCCCTACCCATCAGGTGGAAAATAATTAATAATAAAGTCTAAGGTCCCCATTACCAGCAATATATTGCTGGGATATACCCTTTCAAGTCTCGTTCCAATTCCCGGATGTACGGTTCTCCTGGAAACCGTCGTGGTTAATTCTTGTAGGAGTTTTCACGAAGGACTGACTGATCTATTTTCATCGTCACCTATCACCTCTCACTGGTCCCAGCACAGGCGGGGTTACCATTTCATTTTCAACTCATTAAAAATGTTTTAGACAAGTCTGTCTAAGGTTATAGTTAAAAATATATTAATATATTTATTAGTACAATAATTATAATATTACATTACAGAACACTAGAACCGTACGACTTGGAGGAACAGCTGTACAAAGAAATGCAATTGAAAAATCCGGCGCTGGACCAAGATGACATCAGCGTTATACTGAAAGAGGTAAATGTGTATTGCAACTTTTTCTATACTTAGGTACATGCCACACTATACTCAACGCGTTGTAGTATGTTACGAATGACAGCTGTCAGTTTACACTATGACAGTTCGTGTGGAGGTGTCGCCCTCTAGTCTCAAGGATTTCTAGTTCACCTTCGTCACACATGAATGGAAGCACCACGCCGGCATACACAGACCAACAATATATGCCGGCTGCAAACCCAGTGACCCGGAGGTCGTCACCTCCGGAGTTGAAGCCTCTACTGGGAACTAGTCTACTGGGAACGGCTTATCCAGAAGCAGGGGACTACAGATATCTTAAACCGCGGGATATCGTCAAGGTAACACGAAGGATCTATGAAATGATGGTATAAGGCAGGGGGAAGCACAAAAGATCTCAATGGGTCGACGTGCAACAGCTTAGCTGACCCAATATGCGAATATAAGATAAGATAATATATGGGGTACGCCCCGAGGCCTCTACCTCACCCGCCCACACATCATCCGGCGGGCTAGAGAAGACCATATTGTTTGTTGTTGAATGGAAGATGCGATCCTTCAACGCAATCCAGTGAATTGGGCGTATTAGCCCCTAGAAAAAAAGCACACATGCACACACACACGCACGCACACGCACGCAAGCACGCACGCACGATCACACTCACACACAAACACACGCACATGCTAAATTTTTTACTCAGAACTATATTTAATGAAAATTTTGATTTTTATATATTATTGTACATTATTATGTACAATAAGTGAATAAGTGATAATTGTAGAGGACAAAATCGATGATAATGCAGTTTTACCCTTAATGAGTTTTACTAATGTAATGGTTACTTTCCCGCAGCGCCAGAAGGTGTCGTTCACGGCGATCATACAGGAGATCCTGGCGCGGCAGGTGTCGCAGCCGCTGCTGCACGCCGCCGCATCACACGAGCCCAGCCCGCAAGAGACCCTGCAGGTGATACAGCCTTATTATTCCTTTACCAGCTTTTTGACCGGTACTTGGTCGAATTAAAAAAACCAATGTAATAGACTTCATCTGGATAAAAACATTTAAAGTTCTTAGGTCTTCTATTGCATATAAACATACAGACAGGAATTTATAATTATTATATAATAATTAATTCAATTAATTAATTAATTAATATATTTAAAAAAATATAGAAATGTAGCTTTTACTTACACTCCTCGCAAAAATTAAGGGAACATAAAAATTTTTGAAATTTTTAGGTGATTTTCAACAGGCTGTATTTCAGTGAAAAAAATCGTACAGGAAATTTAAAAAAAGGGTTTTGAGCTTGAAAACTCTAGTTTTAGATTTTTTGCGTAAAAAAAATTTTTGAGCTACCATGTTCCATCGCTGAAAATAAATTTTTTCTAAATATTCGTTTTTCACTCTATGGGCATGGAAAAATTTTTTCGAGCTACTCCATTGTATGGTCTCTTAGCGTGTTTATTCAGCTTCAAAAATCGCTGGATCGCTATTGAATTTGTTCCGAGATATCGAACTTTGAATATCCTTTTCCATTCAACTGCTAATATCTCTGGAACTAATGGTCGCACAGCAAGCTGCCGAGTTTCTTTTCATAAAATTTCCAATTAAGCACAGTCAATAGTTAGTGTATAAAAAATTTTTTTCCTACTCTAACATTGAATTGAAAAAAGTGGAAAAAAGTTACTTTTTCTCCTTTTTTGGTTACTTGGCTGTATCTTCGCTAATATGGGCGGGAAAGCTAAGGTTTGAGGAAAATTTTACAGTCTATTGTTCCTTAAAGTTGGAGCGATCGGTTCAACGGTTTTTCCCGGACCAATTGATTGAAATTTTGGAAAAAATAAGGGAACAAGGTTTTTGCCTTAAACTCACCCTAATCCATTCAAAAATCAATAATTTCATTTGTTTTTCCATCAAAAAAATTCATTATCAAAACAAAAATCAAGAAAAAAATTTTTTTTTTTTTTCACTGTAATAAAATTTATAATCAGTTACTTACTTATTTCCGAAGCCATAGACACTTTAAAACCTTAATTTCCCTTTAAAAACATTAAAAATATCAGTATATTTGGGCTACAGTTTCGAGTCGAATTCCTTTAGTGATTGTTCGGAACACTCTCAATGCTAGACGTTATATTGACCGAATCTTATATACAGGTAATATAATGGATAATTCAGGCCTCATACGGCAAATATCACCCGTCGATTTTTTCAGAGAAACAACATTAGATTGTTGAGGCATCCTGCAATGAGTCCTGATCTGAATCCAATACAAACACAACTGTCAAAATTATCCCAATTTGAATAATTTTGCAGCATTAGAAAATGCTTTGATAAGAGTTTGGCGTCAGATCCCTCAACGGATGATCCGAAATTGCATTTCGAATATGCGACAAAGATTGCAACGACTCGATACTAAACACGATACACACACACACACACACTTTAGAAAATGAGTTTGGAGTCATTAAATTTGACGAACCATGGGGTCTCATTTCTTCTAAAAATTACTTACACAACACTAACACACACACTCTTCAGAAAATGAGTTTGGAGTCGAAATACTGCGGAGCTGACGAACCACAGGGTCTCATTTTTTCTGAAGAATCCCATATCATAAACACGTGCGTGTAAATGTGCAACCTCCACGTGGTATGCTTTGTAATAATGCCGGCGGTAAATCGATCATCAATAAGTTTTTGTCAAAAACTTTATATCGAAAAAAAAAATTTTTGTAAACTTTTTTCGACTTTTCAAAAAAAAATTTTTCTTAAAAATTTTCTTGATTTTTTTTAATAATGAATTTTTAAAAAAACAAAAATTGAGTAAAAAGTGAAAAACAAATGAAATTATTGATTTTTGAATGGATTAGGGTGAGTTTAAGGGACAAAAACCTTGTTCCCTTATTTTTTCCAAAATTTCAATCAATTGGTCCGGGAAAAACCGTTGAACCGATCGCTCCAGGGATTTAGGGGTTCTTTAAGGAACAATAGGTAAAATCAAAAGCTTCCAGCCCAGCGAAGTATTTCCAAAAAAGGAGAAAAAGTAACTTTTTTCCACTTTTTTCAATTCAATGTTAGAGGTGGAAAACAATTTTTTTCTTCACTAACTTGACTGTCTTAATTGGAAATTTTATGCAGATAAAGAAACTCGGCGCCCGCTTGCTGTGCGACCAGTAGTTCCAGAGATATTAGCAGTTGAATGGAAAAGGATGCTTTTGCATTCAAAGTTCGATATCTCGGAGACAAATGGTCGTAATTGAGCCATCCAAAGCGATTTTTGAAGCTGAATAAACACGCTAAGAGACCTATACAATGGAGTAGCTCGAAAAAAATGCCGTGAAAAAGAAACCTAGAAAATTTGAAAAAAATTATTTTCAGCTTTGTTTGAACCATGGGGAGCTCAAAAAATTTTTTTTACAAAAAATCTGAAAACTAGAGTTTTCAAGTCAAAACCCTTTTTTTAAACTGTACGATTATTTTTCACTGAAATACAGCCTGTTGAAAATCACCCAAAAATTTCAAAAATTTTTATGTTCCCTTAATTTTTGCGAGAAGTGTATTTATTTATTTATTATTACCTGCAGTTTACAGATGATCAAACTCCAACATACTACAGGTAATTACAATTTGTAGGTACATGTCAAGTTATTTACAATAATTAATACTAATAATAAACTATAAAAGATTACGATTATATTCAATTATCATAAAATAATAATAATAATAATAAAGCATAATAATTGCTTTGTCTATTGCTATTGTCTATTGCTCGTATTAAGACCCATTATATAAAATTTTCATAAAAAACACCCAAGTATAGATATCATTGATATCTTCCAGACATTATAGCTTAGAATGGTCAAGCGCTGGTGGCTGCGCGGCGAATGGACATAACAGAGTGTTTCACCCGGCAACATTCCTGAGGCCGCAGTTATTCCCGCTGTAAGCAGCCATAAGCTTTGGCTGCGCTTACAGCGCTGAGACTGAGCAGCACGCCACGTGGCTCGCTGATCTACAGGTATCACTACACGGACAGACTGAAGGATATTCATTAATTTATTTCAACAGCAGCTTTCCATCGTCATCTTGCCGCTTATTTTAGAGGGGGTGAAGTCAGATCTCCGCGTGGCCCCGGCATAGAATAGGCCACGTCCCACAGGCGTTCCCTCTTGAAAGATAATACAGCTTGGGGTTCTTCAAAAAGGGGACATTAAGGTTTCTTATGGGTCTGTAACGCACGCTTGATATCGTTGGTGTTATAGGCGTCGATAGGCTATGGTAACCCCGTTTACCATCTGACTGGTCATATGCTTGTTTACCACCATAGTTGTATAAGAAAACCATCCATTAAAAATCATGATTACAATATATTATTATTATTTCAACAGGGTTCCCTAGAGAATACAGCTTGGGGTTCTTCAAAAGGGGGATTGTTAGCAACGCGCGGAGTTTGACAGCCCCATTGCTAGCAATATATCAATCCCTTATAGCAATGGAGGTCGACCTCCACGCGGTTCGATCTCCACCCCTGGAAACCATCGTGCTGAATCCCAGATGTATTCATCATGATGGGCTAATTGACCTGCTTTTTCATTCTCACCTATCATCTCTCACTGGTGCCCCGCTAGCGTATATCGATAGCGCAGGCGAGGTTACCATTCCATTATCATTCATAAAAAAAAAATTAATTTTTGTCTGACTGTCTATGAGAATTAAAATTTTATAATGGATAGTAATTAAGGGGGGGGGAAGGGATTATTAGTAATGAAGATTAGTAACTTATTGTTACTATTATTTTAAAAAAAAATGTACTAGGTTCATCAAAATTATTATAATGTAACAGGTAGAGGTGAATGACACCCAACTGCAGTCGAGCGTGCTGAGAGAGAAGTGCGTACTAGCTGAGAAACACCAAGACGACATTAAATACAGGTACGTAACACGACAAAGTTGTATTTTTTTTTTAATATATATTAGATAGATAGATAGATAATTTATTTACAAAAGCAAAGTGAAAAAAGATAAAAAAAAAGATACATGTACAAAAGATTAAAAAAAAAAACAAAAACAAAATGAGAATGTGTTTATTAGTAAAAATTGTTTTTTTCTTCACGCGTGTGCCACAGTAATACAAAATGGCCACGACTCAGCTTATTGCTTTGCCCTAAAAAGAGCAAAACACTGATATTCTGTTGTGGCCAAAAGTGAGCCGCGAAATATCACTGAAAAAAAAAATAATAAAAAAGAAAGAAATATAGATCAAATCCTAAATCCAAATATAGACAAAAACCTCTTAATAATGTATTACCTCTTAACTTGGCGAGAATAAAGACACATGGAAAGGTCGCAGTGTCACAGACATTTCTGCCTTAAAAAAGCACGTCTTTCAATAATAATACCTCATAACTCTTTTTATTTATGCATTTTTTTTTTAGAATACCAATTAAGCTGACGGCCCACCTGATGGAGAATGGTAACCGTTGCCTATAGATATGAGTAGTACCATGGACATAACAGAGTATACTGTTTCGCCCATGATACTTCTCATGCGTTGCCATTCCTGAGGACTCAGGTGTTAATCCTGTGTACCCAGTAAATTCACTGCCATATCCCACCCTTCAAACCGAAACACAGTCGTGCAAACACAACTGCTTCACGGTTGAAACACGAATGGGACAGAGGTGCCCAAGCAAACGACTTTTGTACAAAGTCTCCCTCTGTATATATATAAATGCACTATAGAGAAAAAGATAGTATGTATGAGCTATAAACATTTGCAAATTTAAAAATATTTTTCGAAAACTGTCAAATAGCGAATTATCCATTTGTTTACATTTTCATTAAGTTTAATTGAAACAAACTATAAAATATTAACCGTCCACTGCCCAGGTGTTCAGCAGTCATCCGCCGCCTCCGAGCTGGCTGCGGACCGTCGGCTGCTGAGCGTGCCCTGATAAGAGAACTGGAGGTGCACCGCGCCCGTGGCGACCAGCTCGCAGACCAGCTGCGGCTGCTGCAACATCACGCACAGCACAAGAGCCACGAGGTAACCACTGGAGGGAGACACTGTATAACAGTCGTTTGCAGGCGGGGAAGGGATTGCTAGGGATACATGGTATATTACTATCTGCGATTGCTGCAACATCACTCACAGCACAAGAGCCACGAGGTAACCACTGGAGGGAGACACTGTACAACAGTCAAAAGGAAAGGGATTGCTAGGAATATATGGTATGTTACTATCTACGATTGCTTCAACATCACACACAGTACAAGAACCACAAGGTAACTACTGGAGGGAGACACTGTATAACAGTCGTTTGTAGGCGGGAAAGGGATTGCTAGGGATACATGGTATATTACTATCAGGTCGAACTCCACGCTGTCCGTCTCTCTGGTTTTATGAGATGGAATGCAATGGTAACTCCGCCTGCGCTGTCAGTATACGCTGGCAAATCAAATCAGTTGGCCCATCATGGCCAATTGACTAGAAATTAACCGCGATGGTTTCTGCAGAAAGCTGCGTGGAGGTCGCCCCGACAAGATATATTGCTAGGAATTATATATTATTCTCAATTTCGTGTATAATATAGTATACATCATATATGTGTAAGTATATTTATTATTCATATATATTTATTTGTTTATATATGTAATTTTAGTATGTATGTATATCAATAATTACTAGTACCGCATTCGAGTATTCTGACACTTCCCTACGGTTGACTGGGAGAGAGTGCTTTTAGCATTAAGTCTGCCATGTACACATATTTGTACTAATGAATAAATAAATAAATAAATGAAGCCTCTACTCTGCCAAGCATGACAACTACTGGCAAAACCCCTTATTTGGAGGATGCCTATGTTCAGCGGTGGACAGTTAAAAGTTGTCATGATGATGATGATGGTGAAGTAGCTACTCGTCATCACTAATTGTGCCTGTTTTTAAAATGTCCCATTTAATATTTACAGTTAAAGCAGTGGCAAGAAGACTACAAAAAGAAAGACATAGCTCTCGGGAAATCGCACAGCGACACAATATCGTCCATATTACAGCAACAGTGAGTATAAATATATATATATATATATATATATATATATATATATATATATGCGTGCGTGCGTGCGTTCGTGCGTGCGTGCGTGCGTGCGTGCGTGCGTGCGTGTGCGTGCGTGCGTGCGTGCGTGTGCGTGCATACGTGACTAGATATCGTTAATATATTAATTACCTATATCCATAATACTAAAGGGGGTTGGGGCTGTGGCCCGTTAACACAGGTCATTATATTAACCTATTTAGGAGCCCAGTTCTAAAACCACAACTACTGTACCCTTATTATAACCTTTTACTGTAATATTTTTATTAGTTAAGAAACTACAGTTATGTTTTTTACGAATAACATCTCATTTAATTTATAGGCGACGGTTGCCACTTTCCATCTGGTGGGCCGTCAGCTTGTTTGCCATTCTAAGTTGTATAAAAAAAAAAATTTCGGTACCAATATATATATATTCAAAATGTATCTATATTGGGTTCCTCTAGAATATCGATTCCTAAAGTGGGTTCCGTAAAAAAGCCACCAGGGTCCAAATTATTTATACAGTAAAACAATTTCATTTTTCACATTAAAAATTAAAAGAAACGCCAAAATGTTATTCTTTTAAAATATCAGTAATAAAAGCTTTTGTCCTTATTTAAATTAAAGTGTTTTTTATTTATATTTGATTCGTTTGATATGAGGTTCCATAAAATTAAAGAGGTTTCTTCAGGGTCGGCAACGCACGCGTAATGCCCCTGGTATTGCAGGCGTTCATAGGCTACGGTGACCACTTACCATCAGGTGGACCGTATGCTTGTTTACCACCTCAGTGGTATAAAAAAAAGTGGAACTAACATATTTATTACCCATTATTTATACTTGTTCCAGGACCAGCCAAATTTCCACACTCATCGAGGAGACCAAACTGCTTAAAGATCAACTCAGTATTATATAATACTTTGATTTTTCATTTACCTATTTGTTAATTATTTAAATATTAATTTTGAATTTACTCACAAAATTTACTGTACAAAAGAGTTTGCCTTAAAATTATTCAAATAGTAAAATATCTTATATCTCGTAAATTTTTAATACTACATGTGTTTTTTTTTCTGTTCTTAGTGTTTAGTAAACAATGTTGGTGTATCTTTTAGTTCATATATCATTTTTTATACAACTTAGAATGGCAAACAAGCTGACGGTCCACCTGATGGAAAGTGGTAACCGCCTATAGACATGAGCAGTACCGTGAACATAACAGAGTATACTGATTCGCCCATGATACCACCCCATGCGTTGCCATTCCTCAGGGCTCAAGTGTGATTCCTCTGTACCGTGTAAATTCACTGCCATATCCCACCCTTCAAAGTGAAACACAGCCATGTAAACACAACTGCATCACGGTTGAAACACGAATGGGACAGAGGTGCCCGAGCAATCGACTTTTGTACAAAGTCTCCCTCTGATAAAAGTCAATCAATCAATTATTTTAATTCACAAATAGCTAAATTAAAAAAGGTTTTTGTTTAATTTATTACTTTTACTATTTTTTTTAATTTTTATATTACTAATTATATTAAAAAGACATACTAAAATTGTTTACTAAATGTATGTAATTGTAAATATTTTCATACTTTGAATGTATTATGAAAAGAAAAACCTTGAGAAATAAATCCTCCCTGATTATCTGCGTGATTACTGATTAAAAATTTTAATCAAATTGTATGAACATTCTTAAATTCAAATTTTGTTACTGTATTTTTTCAATAAATATAAAAAAAATATAATATAACTTTGTTTTTTATTATGTCCATTTGGTCCCGGCATAGAATAGGCCACCCGTTCCTTTCCCGTATGTGTCGTAAGAGGCGACTAAAGCAACTTATTGGTCGAGGGATGCCTACCTCTTAAAACATCACCAAAGCCTAACTGCATTTGCCAAACTACCTGCCAAGCGTGGCAAACCTTATGGGGAAGTCCTATTTTCAGTACTATTTCCTAACCGATACGACATCGTAACCTTCAAGAAAAGAGCACATTCTTTTTAAAAGGCCGGCAGTACACCTGCAATGTCGTTGGTGTTGTGGGTGATCATGGGCGGCGGTAGTCACTTACCATCAGGTGAGCCGCATGCGCGTTTGCCCCCTGTGTTGTAAAAAAAAGTGGACAGTGTTTAAGAAAGTCACATCTTTATAAATTTTGTAATACCCTCCAATCGTGTTATATTTTACCATTTCCCCCTAATTTAAGACGAACAGACAAAATGGTCATCCTCGGTCTAGCGCGAAACACTGTACGAGTTGCTGTTTTTGTGCCTACTTTGGTCAAAAACGTACCTTTTTTTTTATATAATTTAAAAAGGCAAACAAGCTGACAGCCCACCTGATGGAAAGTGGTAAACGTCACCTATAGACATGAGCAGTACCATAGACATAACAGAGTATACTGTTTAGCCCAAAATACCCCCATGCGTTGCCATTCCTGAGGATTCAGGTGTTATTCCTCCGTACCCTGTAAATTCACGCCATATTCCACTCTTCAAACCGAAACACAGCCATGCAAACAACTGCTTTAGGGTTGAAACACGAATGGGACAGAGGTACTTAAGCAATCGACTTTTGTACAGTCTCCCTCTGGTAAAGTACCTGCTGTGTGGAGAACTGAACCCTCTGGTGGTTTTTTAATTAAATTGTAACAAACATAAAATCAATCATCTTCCCTCGTTATATATAATATTAATTCACATTGATACAGTACCTAAACTCTTCTTAGAGAACCACTCTATCCATTGGTGAAAATAGCATGAAAATCAAAATAGTAGTTTTTGAGTTTATCACGAACAGATGCAGAGGAGGACTTTATTTTATAATATGTTTTATAATATTTATTATAAATTATATAACAATAAAACAAATTTGTCCCTTCAAAACTTTATTGAGATTCCTCACGTATGATAGTCATTCAATAAGGAATGATACCACCAACAGTTTACAAAATAGGAATGCCGATATTCAGACATGACTGTATAGTCTATTTAGACTACAAACTAACATATACATGAATATAGGTATAAACAAATACATTGTACATTCAATTCTTGCACATTATTGGCACATAATTTTATTTTGTATTTGCAAATTTTAGGCAAATCAACACACAATTTTTTTATATTTTCATGAATTCTATTACACAATATTTACATTGTCAATTACAAACTTTAATCGCCTCAATAGATTATAAACAGGGCACTGTTTCACATTGGATATTTCTTATTTCTTCAGTGTTGCCAGTTTAGCACTTTCAGAGCTAAATTATACCATTTCCTTATCCAGCTATCTACATTTAGCTACTGTTCCGAATTTTAGGCTTTTTTTTTTTATTGTTAGGAAGGCAAACGAACAGACGGTCTAACTGATAGAAAGCGGCTACCATTACTCAAGAACACTTTTAAATATTTTTAAAAATATAATACAATTGAAAATATCTTAGCTTCCATAAAAGTTGATGACAAAAAATTATTATTATTCTTAGTATTTTTTTTTTTTAATAATTTGTTATTGTTTGGTGTATAAAAATTTAAGATATTTTACAATTGTTTTATTAATGTAGCTTTTTTCAACTCTACTTGACCCGAAAATCTTTTATCAAATTGGCAACACTGTATGTTTACTTCAACGAGGCCTATAAACAGACACTGTAAATATTCCGTACCATTGTTTCATACTGCAAAAAACAGTATAATTTTCATTAAAACTAATACTCTAATTTTTTTTTAAGTTTATTCCGTCTTTTTAATTCTCTATGACACTACAAAATAAGAGTAAAAATACGAGCTTATACAATAAAAAAAATATAGCTCTTAATTGCACCGGGTAATAATAATTGTTTCACCATAAAATGATTATCTTATAAAAATACATTGTTTTTTATTATTTTTTTAATGTTAATTTTAGTTTATGGAACATAATTATTTTATCTTTGAATCTAGACAAGTGATAAACAAAACTATCGATAGATACATTTTCGCTATCATATGCTTATACATAGGTAGGTACCTTATGATAAAACTAACATTTGGCGTATTCTAAGTTGAGTCATAAATTAAAAAATAAAAGATCATATACCTCTAGATGGAGTGTCTATCAAAAACAGTCAACCAAAAGTCGATTGACGCGTTTTATTCATATTGTACGAAAATCTGAGTGTATAATATTTATAATGAAATAAATATAAATAATGACATTTTGTGTTATGAAAGTATAACTTTTATACTTGTCGAAAAGTGCGCCATTTTTAAATAAAGTTGAATCGTTTTGTCGATGGATTTCTAATTACAGCATCTAGATGTTTATGATTTATTATAAACTTATCGCAAACTGAAACTTGGTAAATATTTAAATTCAATAGTTATAAATACTTATATATGAAGATAATCATTTCAAATGAAAAAAAAAAAAAACAAATTTATAAACATCATTTTTTTATCATATAAAATGACAAACAAACTGACAGTTGCCTGATGGAAAGTGGTAACCGTCGCCTATATATTTTATTCACATAAAGGGCACATTCTTGTAACATGCAACTGCAGTTGTACCCGTTTGTATTTTAGTTGTATTTTGTTAAGAGAGGGACTGACTGAAACCAGCTCTGTGCAGCTGTACACATTGCACTGGGACACTCACAGCGTCAGCTGGGCCAGTTCCTTCTGCCTAATACGAGACTTCTTATATATAATATTATTGTATTTTCTGTTATAACTATTTGTTTTTCTGGCATAAAATATTTTCTATTCTATTCTATAGATATGAACAGTACCATGTATACTATAGAATACGCCATGATGCCCAGGGTACCCCTCATGCGTTGCCATTCCTGAAAACTATAGTGTTTAGCCTCCGTACCTTCTAAATTCACTGCCATATCCCTCTCTTCAAATCAACCATGCAAGCTGCTTCACATTAGCAACGGGTAAAACAGAGATGCCCATGCAAACGACTTTTGTACAAAGTCTCCCTCTAGTGCATACATAAATCGGATATCTACTTCTATTTATTGTGTGTCATTTAAAATTTTTCGAGCAGTCACGTTAGCTTAAATTAATTAAAACAGTTCTCAAACTTCAATCAATGGTCCCCAGAACATTTTTGACACTTTTGCTTCGTCTTCCGTAAAGAAAAAGTCCTTGCCCAGTTTCACGAACTCTTTCATTGATAGTTTGCCATCCTGAAAATAAAATTGATTTTTAATTTAAAAAAATTAGGCGTAGGTAATATAGGTACCCGTTGGGAAAAAGGGAATGTTAGTAATGGGGTCAAATACCTTTGCTTGGTCAACCACCACGTGGTTCCCCTTGGAAACCATCGTGTTTTTTTTTTTTTGTAATGGATTATAATGGAATGGTAACCCCGCCTGTTGCTGCCGATAGCAAGGTTGCCATTCCATTATCATTTATATAAGCTTCCTCTGAACATTGATGGCGGAGAAAAATGTCATCACCCATTTCAGTATCGCCTATACCGGTCAGATGTCTATATTTATTTCGATCGAGTTCTTTATTTCGATATTCATATTTTTTAATGGGTGAAAATGGCATAAATAGGGGGTGATAGATGAGAATAAAAAGGCAGGTCAGTTAGTCCATCGTGCAGAATTCAACGATAAATTAGTCACGATAGTTTTCAGGGGGAACCACGTGGAGGTCGACCTGAAAGGGTATATTGTATCCTCTTGTTGGTGCAACTAATATTATTACCTACCCCTAAACCGTGTGGTCTCGTCATAGAATGAAAGGGATGGTAGCAGCATGCCTCTTATAACATCACCCAGGCCTACCTAACCTAAGTATGGTAGGGGGAAAGGGATTGTTAGTAATGGAGACTGAGAATCCCATTGCTAGCAATATACCCAACCTGGTCGACCTCCTCGCGGTTCCCCCTGGAAACTATCATGGTTAATTCCTGATGAATTCGTCATGATGGACTAACTGGCCTGTTTTCATTCTCATCTATCACCCTTCACTGGTGCTCCGCCAGCGTATACCGTTAGCGCAGGCGGGGTTACCATACCATTTTCATCCGATAAAAAAAAACCTAAGTTTGGTGGGGGGAAGGGATTGTTAGTAATGGGGTCAAATAGATAAATAGATAGATAATTTATTTGCATTACTTACAGCACACAAATTATAACATATATAGATATACATAAACATAAAAGCGAGATAATATAAATAGCCCCATTACTAGTAATATTCCCTGTCAAGTCGACCTCCACGTGGTTCCCCCTGGAAACCGTGGCTAATTCTAGTTGAATTCATCAAGTTGGGCTAACTGACCTGCTTTCATCCTCACCAGTCATCTATCACTGGTGCCCCGCCAGTTTATATCGATAGCGCACACGGGGTTACCATACCATTATCACCCATTAAACCTAAGTGCGGTTACCAACCCGCTTGTCTAGTATGGCAACTATTGGCAAAACCCTCCCAATGGGAGAAGCCTGTGCCCAGCACTGGACAGGATATAACCGATATGATAATCACAGGCCATCACATTTATCAATCGCCGGATCCACAACGGTAAACAATACAAAAGTGCTAGGGGGAGAAGGGATTGTTAGTAATGCGGATTATTAGTTCCATTGCTAATAATATACCCTAACAGGTCGACCTCCCCGTGGTCTCCCCTGGAAACCATCGTGCTGAATTCCAAGTGTATTCATCACGATGGGCTAACTGACCTGCCTTTTCATCCTCACCTATCATCTATCACTGGTGCCCCGCCAGCGTATACCGTTAGCGCAGGCGGGGTTACCATTCCATTATCATACATAAAAAAAAAATACAAAAGTGCTACTAACCCCATTGGTGTCGATGACCGCGAAGGCAACAGCTGCATGCTCATTGTCCAATCCCAAGCACTCGAAGAACAGTTTGAACTCCTTCACAGATATGAAGCCCGACTTGTCTTTATCTACGGCCTGTGAACAATCAAATGTTTACTTGTTTATTTTATTTATTTATTTATTGTACAGAACAGAAACAGACCTGTTTGCAAGTACCTTTATCCAATTTACACGAAAAGGTTTGCTGGAAGAAATCTCTTATTAGAGATAAGCTCGCCTTTGTACATTATGTTTATAATGAATTCTGTTTCACATTATATTTTGTGTACAATAAAGAATATCTTTAAATTGTTAATTTATATGCATCTACTGCTAACTAAAGTCGACTTAAATAATTATAAAACAGTTTAATCAGGAAAAGAGAGAAAGAGATTTTCAGTAAGTGGGACAAGCGACCCCATTGCTAACAATATCCAATCTAAACACGGTCTAAAGAAATAATTCGAGTACTGTACCGCATGTCTACCATCGCATACTATTTATACTGACACTCAAATGGTAAATAAGTTACCATCTCAGTGGTATTAAAAAACCCAAAACAGTCCAGTCTTTATGATGTGATACCTACGCTTAACAGCATTAAATTTTAATTCACTAACGACTACAAATTACAGAGAAATTTTCGGTAAAACAAATTTTGATCGTGCCTTCAACCAAACTGTTTATAATTACTCCTCTCCATCCAAAGGTTGCCTGGAAGAGGTCGCTTTTATTCGCCCATTGTTTTCTCGCTGTGATCATTTCTAGAGATCGCCTCTCATCGATATGGTCACCCATTGATTTCTTAGTATAATATTTTCTTGTAGTTGTTTGTATTTATAATAAGTTTACTATTGTAATCTTTTGGAGGAAACAATAAAGAGCATTTATTTATCCTATTAAATGTCAGTGAAATCCGTATCTAAAATAAATCCGTTGTGTGGTTTAAAAAAGTAAACAGAAAACACACGGAATGCAACTTTGTTTTGTGCTAACTACCTTCTAACTGACCAGGACAAACATTTTGCCGCGTAACGTCATCTACCGGACGAATTTTTCGCATCGGGATAAAAACTCATACATCAAGCTGTGCACATTTACAAAATCCCATCCAAATCGGTTGAGCTACTTCAAAGATTAGCGTAAACGAACATGGGACAACGAACATGGGATTTTTATATCATCATCACCATAAGATTTACATAGACTTACCTTAAATAGATAGGGCAACCAGCGGTGCGCCTTCTTCTTCAACGTCTTGTCATTGAGCACATGATGCATGTCTTCCAAATACTGTTCCACCGTCACAAAGTTGTACGGGTCCACCGCACCCCATTGCTCCTCCCATGTTAGCTGAAATAAATTTTTTACAACTTAGAATGGCAAACAAACTGACAGCTTCATCATCATCATCTTATCATCCATTAACTGTCCACTACTAAACATATCCCCCCCCCCTCCCATAAGGGGGGTTTTGCTAGTAGTATAGTAACTGACGGCTTACCTGATGAAAAATGGTAACCGTCGCCTGCCTAGAAATAATAGAATTTCTAGGTAGGCGACGGTTACCATTTTTCCGGCAACTGATGCATGTGATACCCTTCATACTTATACTCACTTGAAGACTAAAATGCTATGGTTCCGTACCCTGTAATTTCACTGCCATATCTCACCGTTGAAACCAAATCACAGTCATAAAAACACAACTGCTTCACGGCAGAAAAACGGATTAAAGAGATGTATCCACGCAGATGTCTTATAAAAAGTATTCCTTTGGCAAAACTATTACTAGAAATACATTGTGAGCAATACACCCTGTCAGATCGACCAACACATGGTGCCCCTGGAAACTATCATACTGAATTCCAGATGTATTCATCACGATGGGCTAACCGACCTGTCTTTTCATCCTCACCTGTCATCTCTCACTGATACCCCGCGGCGTATACCGTTAGCGCAGGTGGGGATGACATTCCATAGTCATCCATTAAAAAAAAAAACAAATATCCTTTAAATACCTTAATAATATCTGAGAACTCTTTCGCCTGCTGCTCGTCAAGGTGGCCAAGTGACTTGAACCTCTCGGCAAATAAGGCGAAATCATTGAATGAGATCAGTCCGTCCTTGTCTATGTCCAGAATGTTGTGGACGGTGCGCATCTTGCGCCTCCAGAACTCCGACTGTGGATGAGAATAAAAATAATAAAGTTAACTAAAAATTAGGACTGTAAATATTTTTTTTGATTGGTGAAAATGGAATGGTAACCCCGCCTGCGCTAACGGGATACGCTGGCGGAACACCAGTGAAGGGTGATAGATGAGAATGAAAACAGGCCAGTTAGCCCATCATGATGAATTCACAAGAAATTAACCATGATAGTTTCCTGGGGAAAACGCGAGGAGGTCCACCTGGTTGGGTATATTGCTAGCAATGGGATTCTTAGTCTCCATTACTAACAATCCCTTTCCCCCCGAACTGTAAGTATTATAAGCAATAATGGTATAGTAACTTCGCCTACACTATCAGTTTTCGTTGACAGGGAATCAGTATGGAAAGGTGGGTAAGGATAAACTCAGGTCAATCGGCATATCGTTAATTCCTTCAAGAGAGGCGTGATAAAGTGTTCATATTGCTAGGATAGTGTGGGCGACAGTTTATGTCCCATCTTGCGTTCGATCTGCGACCCACACAGATTCCATAATCACTTATCACTAGGTGGCTATTTAGCCAATGTGTAATGTCATTATAAAAAAAGATTCGACTTTGATTGAGGAATCAATTACAATGGTCTCCTGTGGGTACCAAATAGAAGATACCTTTAGGCAGGTGCCTATACAAGTTGGTTATATGTTGATCATTTCGGGTGAATTCATCACAATGGATCATCTGACCTAACTTCATCCTTTTTTATACCACTGAAGTGGCAAACGAGCTTACAGCCCGCCTGATAATAAACGGTTACCAAAGCCTATGAACGGCTGCATTACACGCGCATTGCTGATCCTAAAAAAACCTATCCCATGCTGTAGTATCATCTCACGCTCAAAATAGATTTGAAAAATTAAGGCAGAAGATATATAGAGAAATATTGATTGGGGAAGGGATTATTAGTAATGCGAACTACCAGTCCCATTGCTAGCAATATACCAGATCAATATCAGGTCGATCTCCACGTGGTCCCTCTTGGAAACCCTTGTGCTGACTTCCAGGTGTATTCGTCAGGATTAATTTAATTATCACCTATCATCCTTCACTGGTACCCCGCAAGCGTATACCGTTAGCGCAGGCGGGGCTACCGTTATATTATTATCCATTAAAAAAATAGGTATGAATCATGTACTTGACCTACCCTATCAAAACCCTTGCACTCAGTGTCAGAATCGGAGTCCGATTCGCTGTCGGACTGCTGTTTCCTCCTGTTCTCCTCGGGCCTTCCATGCTGCTTGCTGTAGCTCCTCCTCAGGCTGGACATCTGCTCCGTCAAATCACACTCCCGTTGCTTCTCCTGCAGGAAGCACACGCTCCCATTGCAGACTGGTTTTGTGTGGAGTAACTGAAAATAAAATAGATTCTTTTTATTGTCTATTTTTCATGATAGAATGGCAAATGGGCTGACAGTCCCCCTGATGGACAGTGGGCCATGATACCAAGGGATAAGGTGAGATTGAAATTTTAAAATAATTTAAGTCTACAAAAAAACTTACTCTAATCGTAATAATACTGTGATAATATATTATATAAATATAATAAATATAGTAATAATCGTGAAAATATGTTTTTTTATATATAGTTTTATCTTTTATATATATTTTTTTATGGATAAAAATGGTATGGTAACTCCGCCTGCGCTTATGGGATACGCTGATGGAGCACCAGTGAAGGGTGATAGATGAGAATGAAAACAGGCCAATTAGCCCATCATGATGAATTCACCAGGAATTAACCATGATAGTTTCCAGGGGGAACCGCGAGGAGTATATTACTAGCAATGGGATTCTCGGTCTCCATCACTAACAATCCCTTTCCCCCCAATACAGATCAGTTTAAACCAACAATGCAATCAGTCAATGTAGTAATCAACATCAATGCCGTGTTACGCTCCGCTGCACGATAACTGGGGTCTAGGTGTAATGACCTCATTATGCACAGTGCACATGTGTGCACTCCACATACAATGTACCTACGCATTGCACACACACACACAACCAGTTCTCGGTCAGAGACTTGGCACAAAAGGAATAATAATCAATCTGTAGGGCCTTGTAGATTTTGTAATACAACAAAATCATTTTATAAGGATTAAAAATCGAATAGTATATATAGATAGATAGATACTCTTTATTATTTCCTCCAAAAGATTACAATAGTAAACTTATTCTAGATATAAACAATTACAATATATATATATATATATATATATATATATATATATATATATATATATATATATATATATATATATATATATATATATATATATATATATATAGTTAGGATGAAAAGGCAGGTCAGTCAGCCCATCGTGATGAATACACCTGGAAAGCAGCGCGATGGTTGTCCAGGTAGGACCTTGTGGAGGTCGTTCGGATTGGGTACATTGCTACCATAAGGCTCTTAGTCTCCATTATTACCCTATGTGTTATAATATAACCAGTGATCCAAACTGTGGTGGACTTACCAACACGCTGAGTAGTATTAAAACTGAAGCCGTATATTTTAAGGGCTATATATGTGTTCAATCTATTCTATATATTTAAACATATCTATTATATTCCTATTATATTCGAGTAAAGAAAATAGAATTTATTTCTTGTATATTTCTTTATTTATAACAGATAAACGCAGAAACTACTTAAGCTGTTTTAAAAATTCCTTCACATTTATAATATTAGTAGAATTTTCTTAATAAAAGATTAAGATATTGAAAAAAAAAAACTACCTACTTCAACATTGACAGAATTAGTATATACTAGGTAGGGGGTGACCAGCGACGCGATCGATTATAACTGAAGGTCTACCATGAAATGTTTTACAAAATTTCCGGGCCGACCGAAACACAAATTTGACGTTAAAATTACGTGATACATGCCGTTTAAAAATATTGAACATGTTAAAATATCGTTCTTTTGTTCTTTTATGGTAGGATTTCATCAACATCATCGTCATCATATCCGCCCTTAATGCTCCACTGCTTAACGTAAGCCTCTTCATTAGAGGGTTTTGCCAGTAGTTGCCACGCTTGACAGACGGATTGGCAACCGCAGTTAGGGCTTTAGAGATATTTTAAAAGGAACACAGCTGCCTATCTCTCGCCGTCCCTTAGTCGCCTCTTACGACACCCACGGTAAAGGAAGGGTTGGCCTAATCTATGCCGGGACCACACGGACAGATGGTACGATTTATGACGAACAAAATATTAAGTCAAAAAGTTAAGTTAAATCTGAAATCGGCCCAGTAAATGGACATTTACTAGGCCGATTTTAGTATAAACAGAAACACGAAATTGTGTCCGAAAATTCAAACTTCGTTTCATGGTAGATCCCCTGGAAATTCACTGCACCCAACGCTTTATAAATAGATGCCTCTAAGGACAGAAACATCTGTTTAACTTGGAACTTGCATTTTAATGTGAAACCAAGTTCACTGGCTCTCGATATTAATATTAAAATGTCGAGTCAGTCATTCAGAATAACAAAAATATCTTGGGTAATATTTATTTCTACTATTTTCTACTATAACTAATAATATTACTACTATACACATAGTATTACAATAATCTACTTTTAAATCTAAACTACGGTTTCACTTCTTTAAAAAACATGTAATACATTTTTAAATCTCATTATTTATTTTTTCACTTTTCTTTTATTTTTTATTTGTACTTTTTGCTTCAGTCATTGGTATTTTTATGCCTTATTTTCTATTATTATCTTATATATCTATCTGCTGTTCTAATTTATGTTCATCAGAATTATAGTTGTATATTATATGTATGTATTTATGTAGGTTATTTTTTATGCTTATATTTTATATATATATTATATATATATATATATATATATATATATATATATATATAGATAGATAGATATATATATATATATATATATATATATATATATATATATATATATATATATATATATAGATATATATATATATATATATATATATATATATATATATAGATATATATATATATATATATATATATATATATATATATATATATATATATATATATATATATATATATATCTATATCTATATATATGTTAAGGGGGGTAAAGTACCCGTAACCGGCGAGCGTGTATGAAAAGATTGATGAATGTAAAAGAAGCGAAGGAGGTTTGTTTGAATCGAAGCATTTGGCGTTCCATTGTTTCTGCCTACCCTAATGGGAGACAGGCGTGACAGATATGTATGTATGTATGTATATATCATACATTACAAATTATACTGTCATTATATGCCACAACTGCATCTGATTTTTTAAACACTAATTTGACGTCAAAACTTCAATGTTTTAATATATTTAATAACATGACTAACATTTTAGCTTGCTCAACTGTGTTTATTCAAGTTTTATTAACTCTTTTATCATCATATTAATATGTTAACTGTCCACTGCTGAACATATTAAGACTTCCCCCTATGGGGGGAAGGGGATTGCCAATATTTGCCATATTTGACGGGTTGACCCATCCGTCGACTATTAAGTTCCCTTAGTTTTCGACCATAAAGTTCGCCTTATACAACATCCATAAGTAGGGCTCATTCTATGCCAGGACTATATGGCATACAATGAGCTTGAGATGTCCTTGGTACTGCTCATGTCTGTAGGCGACGGTTACCACTTTCCATCAGGTGAGCCGTTAGCTCGTTTGGCATTCTAAGTTGTATAAAAAAAAACAACAATAAATTACATACTTCATTGACACGTACGTTTAAATTTAGTTACAGTAGTCTAACTAGATATATTGGATATATACATATTCGATTCATCTCAGACTGTGACCGCTTGTATTATTTCCAACAATTTATGATTGCCACTATCAATTTTCATAACTGGTCGTCAAGTGACTCGGGACCCGAACTGATAGTGAGTTCAATGACCTATGACGTGACAACTGTGCAACTGCTACCGTTGCCCAGTGGCCCTATACTGCTGGCTGGTTGACTGTCTGCTCAGACTAGGGACATATTGACCTTACATGCGAACGAATTCAAACTTTTATGATGATACAATTGTCTATTAATTTAATTTATTTATTTATATTTTTTTTGTCAAGTAGTCAAGTCTTAAGCGCAACAGAAGAAACTGTTTTGCAACAAGCTGAGTTGTGACCATTTTGTGTTACTGCGGCACACTCACCAAAAATTATGTTATCTCTTTTATGTATTTTATTTTTGTTTTATTTTATATATTATATATATATATATATATATATATATATATATATATATATATATATATATATATATATATATATATATATAAAATAAAACAATGTTTTATTTCTTTAAATATGTACCAATATTTAATGTCGTTTGTGTGCTGTAAGTGATGCAAATAAATTATCTATTTATCCATTAGGTTTTTAAGTGTGACAAGCGATTATCTTTGTACATTTTGTACATTTAATTTGATACTAATATAATTTGTAGAGTGTTTTTTTAATGGGTGAAAACGGAATGGTTATTACGCCTGTGCTATCGGTATATGTTGGCGGGGCACCAGTGAGAGACGACAGGTGAGGACGAAGCAGGTCAGTTAGCCCATCGTGACGAATTTTACAAAAAATAATCTTGACGGTTTCCAGTGGAAACCACGTGGAGGTCGACTTAATAGGGTATATTGTTAGTAATGGGGCTCTTAGACCTCATTACTAACAATCCCTTTCCCCCATTTGTGTCTATAAATGAAGGGGAAATAATTACAAACTTGGTTCAACAAACAAGTTCTATCGAAACATATTATTGAGTAAGTCAGGAGGTGGGAAAATATAAAAGGTCACAATGGGACAAAATGCAACAGGTATCTGACCCCATGAGAACACAGATAATTACGTATAGTTTTAAATGAGAATTTGTTGCATTTATGCCGTACCAATGGGGGAATTTAACGTTGTTACTAGTACAGTATTATACTCGTACTTTCTGTGACCTTGTGCATTGTGTGATGGTAGGCTCGCCCCTTACCTCGCTGGATTGTAATATGCTCGGCAAAATGTGGGCATGTTCAAAACAGCGGCATCAGTTGATAGAAATATATGTATAGACATGTTTGTATTTTTTTATTTATTTATTTATTTCTTACCAAAAACAATTAAAAAAATTACTACCTATAACATACAGAACATTTTAACAATATCATTTGTGGGAGCTGGCGCCTGTACTAGGTGTTGGACCTGTATTACAAGTCGCTAGGCTTCTTACCTCGAATAGTACAAATTGTACAAAGATATAAATTAAAAAACTTAAAAAAAAAGTGATAATGAGTACATAAAAGAGTAAATAATAAGTTTGCTAGCGTAATCTTTTGGAGGAAAC